TTAGTGACAAAAGAAGCCCAAAGGACAGTAAGTTTGCAGAGGAAATCCTCTGTGGCTTACAAGAGCAAATGGTCTTTACAATAATGCTTCTCCTTCCCTTTATTTAAAAATATTGTAACATATACTTTGAATAGCAAAACTAGCCTGCAATCTCTCTATCCCAATGCTCCCATTGCAGGGTGTCTTTCTGCATTAAAGGCTGCTTTTTTTTTTTTTTAGATTTATTTATTTATTCATACAGAACTGAGGTACAGGCCAGAGATGCGGAGGGTGAGAGGCTTCACCAGAGACAGAGTGGGGAGCAGAACAGGCCGATCGTCGAAGTACACTGCTGAGGGGAGCAGTGGGCGGGTCAGGAGAGGTCTGCCACGCCATGTGGTCACCTCCCGGGCAGGCGGGAATCGAACTCATGCGGAAGTGGCTTTAGATTCTCAGTGCGGTGCTTTAACCCGCTGCGCCACCAGGGAGGGCCCTAAAGGCTGCTTTTACTGATGCTGTTTCTCTCAATTTGGTTGACATTTTGAGAAAGCCTTTTTTTTTTTTTTTAAATCACTGTTGTATTATCATCCTCCCTTCTCTTGCTGCAGTGCCAACAATTCTTTCCTACTGGCAGAAGCTGGTTAATCTCCATATAAGCCATGGCATCTTCTTGGTTGCCTAAAGACTGTTGAACATCACAACTGTCACCTCCAAACTTGGACACTTTTTCCTAAGTTTACTGGTCCTACATAACAGAGCTGGGGCAGCCCTGACATAGGTGTTTGCTGTGGTTGACATTAGGGTAATTTGGAAGAGGGTCTGGTGGACTCACCATCACAGAGCAGACAAAATGTGAGGCTCTTAGCTGATGGTGTCTTGGTTGTCTGAATGGCTGGTTTTCCTTTGTTGGGTTTAAAGCTTTGGAACGGAAGGAAGGTCTGTCCTCCCCAAGTATATAGGATTTCCCTACACTTGAATGGGAGTAAACTCAAGAAAGTTAGCTGTGGGTGGGTATGCTACTCCTATGACTAGTCACAGTTTGCAGACATGGACACTAGGCTTCCTTCTACAGAAGTGGAATTTCTGAACAGATTGCCCAGCTGATGGTGAAGTATGTTATCTAATGAGCCCATGAGACCAATGTCAAAGGGGTTTCTGTTCCAGCAGGCAACTGAGGTTTCATACAACCCAAAAATGTCTGGGGTCTCCACACACTCATGCTTTGCCTATTCTGCTTCCTTTGCCTGGAATGATCCCTTAAAAACCATTAAAATTTGGCCCTGCCTGGTGGCGCAACAGGTTAGGAGCAGCACTGCAAGCTAGAGGCAACCACTTCAGTGTAAGTTCGATCCTCCACGCCGGAGGTGACCACATGGTGCGGCAGACCTCTCCTGACCCACCTGCCGCTCTCCTCAGCAGGGTACTTTGTTAATGTGCCTGTTCTGCTTCCTACTGTCTCTGGTGAATCCTCCCACCACCCCTGCACCTCTGGCTTGTACCCCAGTCCTGTACGAATAAATAAATCTTAAAAAAAAAAACATTAAAATTCAACCCATTCTCCAAAGGCCTTTTCTCAAATTTTACCTTCTCCATGTAGTATTTCCCTATTTCTCCAAATGAAATCCCACAGAACTCTGCCATTCTTTTCTAGTAGTTATTTTATTCTAGCTATATGTATACTTGTTACACCCTCAGGCCAGGCCATATGCATGTGACCTTTTATCTTCTACTGAGTTAAGTAAGTTGAGGACTTTGCATCTACTGGATGATAAACATTTGTTGAATTCAGTTGTTTACCTTGTTCTGAGACTTTCCAAGATGATGACAGGACATTTCAAGTAGTAGTCTAGTGGCTACATGCCAGAAAACTATCCCAGCTCTTGTGTCCCTTGGCCACCCCAAAATGTGACTATTTGGACAATCTCTTGGTTCATGTAAAACACTTTCACTTGGGACATAAAAACTGATAAGTGTCCCAGGAACAATCATGTGAAGGAATAGTCAAACAACTAAATAGTTTTACCACTGGGATTGTAATGGTTTCAAGAGTCTAGGGGGTTTTACATTTCATCTTTAAAACTGACAGGGTCAAAAACTGCAAAGATGATGATCTTATGATCTTATATATTCAGGTATATAAGGGGATTCACCAAACAAGATAAAACGTGTATGAGTGGCTGATGTGAGCATGGCCCAGATACAAGGTGATCTGGCCCATGATGTCCTATGTTTTAATTTACTCAGACTGGGACTTCCTGTGTTCTCCCGTGGTCAAGGCTACATACCTAGAGTTTATCTAAGCATTCCCTGATAGTATAACTCTCCGTATTTCTATCCAACCCCATCTCAGATTTTCTTCCTTTGATTTGGAATGTGCAGGCCCACAAGGGGCACCTCGACAACCCTGCAGGTCTCACAGTTGATGTGGCCCAGGCTGCACAGGCCACACAGGTCCCCTACTGGCTGGATGTCGTGTGCTTGGGAGATAAACTGCACTTTTTTTTTTTTTTTAAAGATTTATTTGTGCATACAGAACTGGGGCACAGGCCAGAGCCTCAGGGGCAGTGAGAGGCTTCACCAGAGACAGAGTGGGAACAGAACAGGCAGATCAATGAAGTACACTGCTGAGGGGAGCAGCGGGCGGGTCAGGAGAGGTCTGCCACGCCATGTGGTCACCTCCGGGGCAGGCGGGAATTGAACTCATGCGGAAGCGGCTCTAGATTCTCAGTGCTGTGCTTTAACCTGCTGCGCCACCAGGGAGGGCCAAACTGCACTTTTTATGAGAGGCAGGCCCCCAACCACATGACAAATGGATCCCTCAGTTCACGCATTCCAGAGGATGCTCTGAGCTTCCAGATGGGAGAAACATCAAATAGGTTGTATGCAGAGAGGGGAAAGGAAAAATTAAAGCCATTAATATACTGGAAGGAATAAAGAGACTGGTTCTTTAAGATTGGGTACCCATGATGTGACTCTGGTTCCTCAAGTCAGGGACGATTTACTTTCACTCCTGATATTTTGGCCTGCGGCAGCCAGGGTTCAACCCCAGTGATCAATGGAGTCTCACACAAAATCCACTGTTTCCCACCCCCTCTCTAAGACTTCATTAAGCCAGGAGCCTCACCAAAGGAATAAATTCATTTGAATCAAACTGTGGGTGGCATCAGAAATTATGTTAAATAAAGTATAGCAGGTCCTTCCTGATAGTGTGAGTTAAAGCACAGCACTAGGAAGCCAGCTTCAACCGCTTCAGCATGAGTTCAATCCTCAGCCAGGGAGGTGACCCACATGGTGTGGCAGACCTCTTGTGTCTTGCCTGCTGCTCCCCTCAGCAGTGTACTTCCTTAAGCTGCCTGTTCTGCTCCCTACTCTGTCTCTGGTGAATCCTTTCAACTCCTGCCCCTCTGGCCTGTACCACAGTTCTGTATGCATAAATAAATAAATCTGTAAAAAAATTAAGTATAGAATGATACTTCCCTAACTAAATATATCATTGATTTATTGATATTTATTAATTAAAAACATAGGACAGCAGACGCCAGAGTGTACAGTTGCAAAGAGATAACAAAAATATGCGCCCCCTGCCTCTGCATGCACAGCCCCGCACACCCTTGCTTCCGAGGCACTGGAAATACTCACCCGTTAGCCTGGCCTTTATGACTTGCCACCCCAGAGGATCACCCAAGAGAGGGGTTTCTCACCAACACATAAATCCATACCCACTCATGGATGCACGTATGATCTGTAGATATTTTATTTCTAAGTGGCCAATCACTGCTGCATTGAAACATGCATTTACAAACATATTTACTTTAAGAAATCCTATTCCTTTGTTTTAATAGCTGAGCCATCTAGCCACAGCATAATAATGTACAAGATACATCTCTGGAACCTGTTCCAAGTTTTCTCAAATGTGACTAACTGCAAGCATTTTCCAATCATCAGAGACTTGCCCCCTCAAAAAAAAAAAAAAAGAAAAAGAAAAAAAAGACCAATTTATTCTAGACACGAAACCTGCACAGTTATAAGCTGCAGAGGTGTTAAGGGTGAACTTTAACTTGAAACTACCCTGAAAACAGAGATTTCGCTCCATAGGAGTAGGACAGAGGAAACTACCTTTTTAGAAAGCACCCATGCTACACAAGGGAAATACACTGTTATTTATATTTGAGGATGAAATCTGTATTATACAGAAGTTGGGCACTTAAGAGTGTTTATCGGGATGGAACATGAAGGCTGAAAACCTCTGAAGCAGATTCTGTAAAATACACATTGCTTAAAGTGGTGAAAGAAAATTGGTTGAAATGTGCTCTGACTGCAAGCATCTCAAGACAAGGAACGGTATGCAAAACACTAGAAAGAGTAGACTATAATTATTATTTACTAATGCTCCATTGTAACGTTATTCTAACAGCTTGTGTATTGTCAAATCAACAATCTGCACTAAATAAATGACCATTTGGGAATTGTTAGGGAGCGTCTCTGTTCCTCTCTCTGCTTGACTAAAAACTGTCATTTGCTATCAAAGAAAGCGGCCTTGGAGCTGAGAACACAGCACCAGTAGCCTTGTTCTGGGGAAAGACCAAAGATTCACATTAACTTGATCTTTTGCAGCCAATCTAATTTCGTTCTATGTGAATCCAAGAGAACTTCGCGCCGCACGCAGAATTTCCTGTAGGATTACACAAAAAATATACGCTGGCTGTCTTCTCTGTTCCCAACATTCTGAATTCTGAGAGGCTGCAGCAGCAAATGAGGACAAGGAGTAACCTAGATTAAGTTGTGACCCTTCAGTGAGGCAGAGGGAAAGCGCCTGCATTTAGTTTCAAAGTGCAGTGGTTGGTTTTTAAAAAGTGAAAACTACTGTGAGGTAAGAGTTTCTAAAACACCCAAGTGGAATAAATAATGTCTCTCCAGAGTCTCTGGATGTTTCTAATTCTATTCTGTTTCTTTTAACAGAAAGTTAAACACAGATACATAACTGGGGAATTCTAATGTAAGTGAAAAAAACGTTTACTCACCATCAATTCTTCAGGTGCAGGTCTTTCTTTTGGCTGTTTTCGCATGCTATAGGAGGAAAAGAACACATATCTTCATCACTTGTAAATTTGTGCTACAATTTTCTACCATGAGCTATTTCTTTTTGAATGTGAATGTTCTCAAAATTCAACATGTTCAGTTCTTGGCCAAAATATTGGCATATGTTTTCTTCCATTATTTTGATGTTTAATTAATCAGATTTTGGGGGATAGCATGAATCACAAACAGATTTTTTTTTAGTATTCTTGAATATAACCTTAAAGTTAGGAAACAATATACTTCAGTTTGGTAACTGGGATATAAAGACATTAAGAAACATGCCTCTCAAATTAAGTGAGAAAACATTTTATTTCTTCACTAGAACTCCAAATGACAAGGAATCTGTAAAAGAGGCCAGGAATTAAGAAATGGGTTATTACTTTATTCTGACTTTTGTAATTTGGTTACAATGCAAGCTGATAATTCCAGCTGTGAGGAAGTTGAGTTTGTTTAATCTGCTTACAGTGGCACATTCCTCATGCAAAATACTCCTTCTCTTTCACAAACTTGGTGTAAGTGGTGGCTGCAACATATACTCAGCCAGAATTCAAGCACCTCCAGGTGGGGTGGAGTCGACTGGGGAGGACCTGGGAGCTGTATCTGTACTAAACTCACAGCAGCTGTGGGATGACGTCATGAAAAGAGATGGCTGCTTCTATTACTTGGAAAAGCACACAGATGTTTTTTCTTTATATAAGGCAACCTCTAACAAGAAGAAAACACTTCACAGTATCTCTGCATTTGCTGATAGTATTTTTTTTTAAGTGGAGAGATTTAACAATCATTTGGTAAACAAGAACCATAGTTATGAACCATTAATGACTTCGAGGACATTTGCCTTCCCTATAAATAACCATATGCACCTCTCAAATACTGCATCCATTAGCAAGTAATTCAAGCTGTCTTGCCAGTGGAGTTGGTAACAGTCCTAATCTGACATTCCAAAGTAGCTGTATCTCTTGGGAAAACAAGGCTATTACCCACTATCATTTCTGTTTCTGCTTGACATCTGTGGAAATTTCAACACAGGTTATCTCCCCCTCTGTTTCCGTAAAACTTTTACATACTAGCTGATTCATTTTTGGACAGGAGGAAGACAGCATTATCGGCTGCTTTTCCTATCTGCCCAGAACTGGCAGCATCCCAGGGTGGCCTCAGACCACACTTCAGGATAAGTGCAGGTTCTCATCACAGAGCCTGCATCTTGGGGGTTGCGATGACCAAACCAGGCACTCTGGGCAGCACAGGAGATGAATGGTTTGCTTTTCAAAATGGGGTATTCCCCTGATGTGCATCTAGAAATTGCATGTTAACGAAATTAAGAGAGAGTAGTAAATATTTCTGGATAATGGCTCTAACATTATCAACGAGCTTAGGATCCAGGGTTTAACTATATGTGTGCTTTTTTCCCAACAAGGCATGCTCTGGAAAGAAAATGCTTGCCGAATGAACATAGCGCTTAAAATCTACAGAATGTAAGTATTTTAATAAATAAAAATGTTAATAAAATTTTAAAAGTCGGGGATCTCTTCCTCACAAATTTTCCTGTGGAATATAAACTGTATGAGACATTTTTATTAAGAGGTAACATATTACACTTAGTCAAAAAGGTGATAAAGCTTGACATTTATATTAAGGAATATTTCTTGTTTCACTTTAGTGTAATCAGCAGAAGGATCAGGGGGGAAGGGGTGGGGGACAGTTGCAAAAGGTCTCCTGGTTGCACCAATTGTGGCACCCCAGGAACTTGAAATGAGGTATTGGTGATGGAGGGAAAGAGAAAGGCAGTGGGGAAGGAGTTCCAGAATGCCCACGACAGGTTCTAATTAGATCTGCTTTGGGGTGGTCATTCCTCTTCATGTTCATTCTCATTCTCCCTCTCCCTGACAGGGCACAAGATGGGCCAGAGCAACTGGGCCTTCAAGGCCACGCAAGCTCCGCTGACTAGGGGAGAGGTAGATGATGTGAAAGGGGCAATAAAAGAGGGCTCTCAACGAGGAGGAAAAAGGCAGAAGGCCGGGAAAGAATCCTTGGCAGAAAAATGCCTGTTTCCTCAGGTGCAAAACGACATGGGGCTGCTGCAGGACACTGAGCGCCCCTTTGATCTAAATGCTGTGGTTACTCTGAACTCTGGAGTGGCTGAAGTGGGCCTAATGGAACCATGTTTTCATCGCCTCTCAGACATCAAAATTCATTGGGATGGGACACAAGTGTTACTTTTAATATATAACCAAAGATAAAAGTTATTTACTGAAAATCCGATGAATTAATAAACTACGCTGCTTCCATTAAGTGACAGACAGTTTTATGGGTAACTTGGGGTTACATTAATAAAAGTAAACATCATATGTCTGTTCAATAGGGCTATAAAATTGTGTATTTCTTAAAAAAAAAAATTGGACAGCAATAGTATCTGTACTCAAAGAAGTAGCCTGACTTGCAGCAGTTTATTAGGACAGGAAACAGCCTCCGAAGTACATTTATGACCCTTTGTGTAAATAACGTTTACATAATTTAAACAATTCCTTCAGCTTTGCTGCCCCATCTGCCCAAGGCCCCCAAAGTCCCTCCCGTCTCCAAAAGGAAGAGGGGAGAGACATAAGGTCTTGCGGAGCTGCAGAGTTAATGGCATGTATCATTTACATTGAGGGCATGGCATGTTTGCAAACGGGCTCACCACTGAGTGATGAAATGTACAAATGGCTCGGAGAACTCTCCAACCGGAAGGACAGGCGAATCCTGGGATGGAGGAAAAACAAGTCACCAAAAGTCACAACCATTCCCTTTCTTTCTTTATCGCCCCCACCCCCAAAGGAAGCAGTGTAAAGAAGAATATAGAACAATTCACCATCAAGTAGAAAGGAAAATAAGGTCTTATCCAATTAGAGGGACTGTCTACACCCTCTTCAACATGCTTATGTACAAATGCCAAATTTAAAGCCACACACATTTCACTATGGCGAGAAACATGAGAGCAAAGAGGGAGGGGAGGTGAAAAAAGGACAATGATAGCCACAGGGTAGGAAAGAAGGTACGAAAGTGTAAATGAGAAATTAATGATTATTTAAGTAACACACAAATGGTCTTGTAATTAACAAAGAGCTGTGAAATTATTCTTGTGCTGACCTTTGTTTCTTTTACTGGATTTGCTATTTATTTACACTTTCCTTTCATTTACATTTATTTGTATATTCAACTGCTCTTAACTGCTTGTGGCTGGAAGAATTATTCGGATCAGATTCCACCCCCCCCCCCCCTTTAACAGAAAGTCTTTTACAAGGGAAACTGTTACCTGAAAAGAAATTTCAGCGGCTTTACCAGTGTAGGCAAACTCATCGTATATGAAAGCCAGTGATTAGGGGCACACTGAAAACTCCCACCTGGATTACCAAGCACAACTTGGGGAGAGGTGGGTTCACGCTAAAAGAACAGGAAGCAACACTGCAACAAACCACAACCACCGGGTAACACTGGGCACAAGCCCCATTACCATTTGCAAAGGAAGGCTTTAAGAATTTAGGAGTTTTTCCAAGAATGACAGAGAGCGCCACTGTGTTTATAGTGTAACGGCTCAGGATGTAATGAAATTACACTGCAGAGTACTTTAACAGTCATCTCATTAGACCTACAGTTGGAACAAGAGAGCCACATAAAGTAGGCAGCTGCAAATGACTCCATTCTCATCTATTCTCATTTGCTATTAAAAATACCTTTCGGCGGCTTTTTTCCTCCCTGACATCCCTACACAAAGTGCCCTGCAAAGTATGATACATGCACCTATTTAAATTAACAAAGGAATGACTTATTTTAATCTCACTGTGCTTTGGAGTGCTTTGGCCATTTGGATGAGCAATATATCATTACATACAACCTTCCAGCGCTGCAGGCAAGAAACTCAGAGCATGCAGCATTTGGTGGGAGCCAAACAATTTCTCTAGCACACAACTGTGTCAAATGCATGCATGTATTCATTATTGAGAACGAGAGGAAATAGCTTTGATGTAGTGGAAAAAAGAAGATGATAAAAGCACCTCTGCAATATGCGTGTCATTATCAATGGTGGCAGATAGATACAATTGCACAGCCTCCTATGTGATTAGTAAATATACATATAATTGCTGTGGCCAATTATCAGAAAAATGAGATCGGTAATTACAAGACAGAAAATTAACTAGAACTCTTATTAAGGCTTTGTTTCCAATTCCAACAACTGGAAACTGCTGGAAAATACAATTCAATCAAAAGGAACCGAGGGGGTCAGAGTGGCCAAAAATAAAAATAAAAAAAAATCATGAAGTGGTTAAAAGGAATGTGAACAAAATGTTTCTTAGTTTTTGCATATCTATCCTCTTCCCCGTTTACTCTCTTCAGCCAGAGGAATGGAAGGTTACTAATTGTAAGCTTAAAATTCTCATTGGTAGAGAGAGGCTTCCAAGAGGAAAGGAAAACAAAGGAAAATGGGAGGGAAATAAAATCTTGCCAAGTTCAAAGGATTACATGCAGGCATTACAGAGAGAGGACATGAAAAACGGGGGGCTGATGAAATAGCCCACTCAAAAGAAACAAGGCACACAATGACATAACAAGCCCTTGGTAAAGGTACTATAAAATGGTCACAGAAGTCCCATCGGTTTGAAGAGCCAAAATAAAACATAATATCAATTTCAACCCAGCCACTTTTGGGAAAGCTACATTCATCATCAAGTCTGCAGCTTCCACAAGGCCCAGTTCAAGAAAATGACATTTCACTGTCTCAAAAACTATCAGTAAAGAGATAGTTCAAAGTCTGAGCTACAGAAATTATGGACTCCGAGCAAGTAGTCAGTTCTCTAGGTCATTTCTTGCTGGAATACTTCGGAGGCTGTAACACTGCAAGTGTCTGAGAAGTAGAGGTCTTAAAATGCAATGCTGAGGGAAAGAAAAGCCTACTGTCTTAATGGGGCTGAATATTTACCAAGATGGTTAACATTCCAGACTGGTATTCTACAAAGATCTGGTATAAAGCATGATGCTAATCTGGGCCTCATTTCAAAGTATGATACCAAGAGTAAATTAATGAATTATAGACCAGGGCACTTGATGAAGATGTCATTTTAACATGGATGAGAAACAAAACAAGGCAATGTGACATCTCTGCATGGGTAGTTAATTTTATTTAAGACCTGATATTGTAGCCTGTTAAGTTTCTCATAATATAAAACTAAGGAACACTGGGTGGTACCCATGAATAATTTATTTCACTTGTGAAAATGCCAGCCCAAGTCGATTGGATTCTCATCTCAGAGGTGCCTGGGAAGAATCACTCACCAAAGATGCAGGAGAAAATTCTAATGTCACAAGCATAAGGCCAGATTTCTTTTCATTTGAAAGTCCATGTCGAGAAGCAGAGTATTAATGGTAGGGTGGGGGGGTCGGTGGTCAGAAAGCCGCAACGTGAACAGGGTGGGGAGGGGGGAGCGGGCAAAGGGATTCTCTGAGCGCCTCCAGTTCCACAAAAGCAGGCAGGCTGTTAACCCTCTAAAGGAAAACAAGTGAACAGGTCCGTCGTCATCCACCACACAGGAGAGTTTGAAAGGATACTCGTCTCATTTTCAAGCAAGTATATTTAGTAGTTTAGATTGGATGTAAAGAAGCTTCAAAGCCTGCGTATGTCGTTATGTAATTCAAATCTGTGGGAAGGAGAGAGGCAGCCTCTGAGCCGAGCTGCTCCAGTTTCACTGCAGCTCTGGGAGGGGAAGCCGCCAGTGGCCACCGGGGTTAGAGGGAGACAGAGCACACAAGAGTTCAGGGGATCTGGTCAAGGAGTTGTTGCTACTTATCAGAAATGTTCTCTATGAAATATGGGTTCAGGCAAGATAAAGAAATACACTTCAAAAATATGAACACAAATTGGAGAAGCAGTTACACTAATAACTCTCAGGACTGGCTGAAACCGACTCCAGATTGTTAATAAAAGTCACTCTCTTTAAGACCTGGGCATCATATTCCCCCTTAAGGGCTTTTTGAGGGATGCTTTTCTGTTGAACTTCCCAGCATGGTGGTATAGAGCGAAACAGTGGACACAACCTTAACCAAAAGGCCTAACCTGAGATTCTAGTCCCATATCAACTTTAGAGTTCTGCTAAAGGGACACACGCTGGATCTTGTTACCGAGCAGGCAACTGTTATATAAAAACAGCTGCCATAAACCATCTCAGTAAGCAATTCTGGTCATCAAGGAGGACAGTCTCCAAGTCTCGGAGGCTTCAGTAACCACCTGGTCAGCCCCTTTTGCTAAACAACTGGAACTCTAGCGGGCGGCACTCTAGAGAACAGTGAAGGACAATGGGAAAAAAGTTTGAGTGATGCCTTTGCCATGTGAATAATGAACAGTTCAGGAAGGTCAACCCATTACAACTGAAACTGTTTAATTATTAATTATGCACAATCTATGAGCAAAAGGACAAGTTCAGAATGTTTAATGTATGCTAACTTCAACTGGACTCTCTCTGGGTATTTTGCTATTAGCACTTGTCAGCAAGGTATTCAGGCATAAAAAAAGGCAAGGAGCAGAAAATCTGTCGTGTGTGTGTGTGTGTGTGTGTGTGTGTGTGTGTATACACCTGCACATTCAAAGAAGTAGGGCGGGCATGGGGAAGATAGGAAGGAGAAGAGATACAGTTCAAGCTGCAGCTGCGCTAGTTCGCTTGCAGAGTGCATGTGCCAAAAAGTGCTCTTTAAGACCTGAGAGCAGGCAGGTAAGTTGGATACCCCAAGTGCAGAAAAAGAAACAAGTCAAAATCAACATGAGTTACTAAAAGGAGATAATATTTTAAAGGCAGTTTTTTTTTTTTTTTAAACTGCGGTATTTCTTGGCTTTGAAAGCATCCATATCATTAATGCTTATGTGGGCTCACACACCAGAAGAATTGCTAGACCTGGAATCTACTCACTGGATTGTATCAAGACATCACTTTCCTGGTTGTGAGACTGTAGTAAAGTTAGATGTTACCACTGTGCAGGGGTGGAGGATGGTCCACGTTATTTTTTACAATTGCATGTAACTCTTGAATGATATCAGAAGAGAAAGGTTAAATAGACATAGGTAAAGAACTAATTTTAAAAACTCAAATGAGGTCTAGATTCTTGGTGGACAAAGTTGAGGGTTCTTTGCTTAGAAAAACAAACTCGAGTATCTAATTTTTGCCTTAATTCATAATTAAAGATGACAATGGAATCTGACAATGATGTGGTGGTTGATTAAAATGTTGATAGGGCATGACCTGATACAATCATTCATTACTTATTTATTGGTTCATTTTTTCAAGAATTTTCTTGACCATCTACCATGTCAAAGTCACTGAATCTGGCACTGTGGAATGTCTGATTCTTAATTTATATCCTCTAAGAAAGTGTGTACTGCTCAGGTGGAGGAAACAGCTAAGTAAGAGAGCCAAGGCTGGGCACTCAGGCTGGATGGGGCTCAAGTCAGGTTGACTGCCACCTAAGTGTTCACAGAGGACAGTAATGGAGAATCATGTAAGATCAGGAGCGATGTGTTCGGCCTTCTTTGCTCTCCTGCTTTCTTCTTTTCTCACTCACTGAGGGCACTTGGAGGTAAAGGGACCTTGAATCTGTGTCCTGTTCCCTTCTCTTTGTGCAAAACCTCTATGTTATAATTATTGTTGGTAAAATGTATAGGAGGCTGAAGGACAGCTTCTCAAAAGCCTCAGGATTCTGGCTATGCTGTGAGTTTTAAA